CCACATGCTGCAACTAAAAGATCCCGCGTGCCACAGCTAAGACCTAGCGCAGCCAAAATAAATTAAAAAAAAAAATAGAATGCTCTGGAATCTTAATAACAGCTAAAGTGGCGGGTAAAAGCATTACATCCAACAATTCCTGAACAAAGGAGCCATTTAAAATTTTATATCTGCTGGAAGAAAGGAAGCCACATTGCTTGTAAAACAGTCCAAAATCATGAACTACTCTGAAAGCATATCTGCTATCAGTATAAATATTAGAAGTTTTGCCCTTGACTAAAGTACAAGCCTGTGTAACCATATATAATTCAGGCTGTTGGGCCAAAGTAGTCATACGTATAGATGGTGCTTCATCAGTATCAAAAGGAGTTGCAATAGACTAAACAGCACAGTATTTGCCATTGTCACCTTTTAAATAAGAACCATCAGTGAACCATGAAAAGTCAGTGTTACCCACACGAATTGCCTGTGGATTATCACCAGGAGTCAGGAGGTGATCCATCAGTGAACCATGAAAAGTCAGTGTTACCCACAGGAATTGCCTGTGGATTATCACCAGGAGTCAGGAGGTGATCCATCAGTGTTGGGCAGTCATGAGAGATGTCATTGGTGATGGTGGGAAGAAGAGTACCAGGATTAAAGTTATTACGCTGTAAAAGAGTTACATGAGGAGTAGTTAACAAAAGGGCTTCATAGGAGTTGAGGGGGCTCACTGAGAAAGGTTGAGTGTGATGAGAACTGGGGAGGCCTTCTACTGCATGAGGTATAAAAATGGGTAATGGGGATCCCACGATAACTTTCTTGGTGGCCTTAACCAAAAGGGCAGAGACAGTAATTGTTCTAAGGCAAGAAGGGTATCTCCATGCCACAGGGTCCGGTTATTGGCTATAATACCCTATGGGTCAATGGTGGTCTCAGTGTTTTTGGGTGAGTACCGCCAGGGCATCCCCTTCCTTTTCATATACCAAAGGAAAAAGAGAATTTGTTAACTGGGATGTCCAAACACAGGCAGGTTCATCAAACTCTCCTTTAAGGCCTTAAAAGCTACGTTGTCTGATTCTTCCCATCAAATTGGATTGGAGTTGTTATTGCTTAGTAAAACATACAGAGTTTTGGCCATAAAAGAGAAATTTGGAATCCAATTTTGGCAACAAACAAGTAGCAGTTGGCACTTAGTTTTGGGTTTTTGGAAACTTAGGACACCACGAAGTCTATCTGGATCTGGGTGTGGCCCTTGTTCTGATATCAGATGCCCTAAATATGAAACCTGGGTTTGGGCAAACTGATTTTTTTCCTTGACAATGTTATGTCTCTTTAAGGCTAAAAGCTTAGACATATGGATGCTGTCTTCCGGTGAAGAGTCTTGAGAAGGAGAGCACAGAGATTTTTTTCACATGTTACAACAAAATAGAACTTCTAGGGAACTTTTTATCACCTGGATAAGCCTTCAGGATTTGTGACAAATAAGTAAGGGCTGAGGCATTACTGCCCATGTGAATTGTTTTTCTTCCCAAGTGAAGTAAAAAAGGTATTGGCTAGGGGACTTCCCTGGTGGCGCAGTGGTTAAGAATCTGCCTGCCAATGCAGGGGACACGGGTTTGATCCCTGGTCTGGGAAGAACCCATATGCCGCGGATCAACTAAGCCCATGCACCACAACTACTGAGCCTGCACTCTAGAGCCTACAAGCCACAACTACTGAGCCCACGCGTCACAACTACTGAAGCTCGCACGCTCTAGTGCCTGCATGCCACAACTACTGAGCCTGTATGCTGCAACTACTGAAGGCCACACACTTAGAGCCTGTGCTCCACAACAAGAGATGCCACCACGCTGAGAAGCCTGCGCATTGCAATGAAGAGTAGCCCCCTCTCACCACAACTAGAGAAAGCCTGTGCACAGCAACAAAGGCCCAACGCAGCCAAAAATTAAAAAAAAAAAAGTTATTGGCTAGTTTCATCAACTGGAATACTAAAGAATGTACTGCATAAATCAATTACAGTAAAGAAATTGCTTTCAGTGGGAGTGGATATTAGTAATGGATATTAGGAACAACAGGGTGGTGAGGGATAACAATGTTGTTCATTGCTCAAAGGTCCTGGGCAAGCATCCACCCTTGGCCCTTAGGTTTTCTCACTAGCAAAATGGGAGTATTGCAGGGGCTAGTGCAAGGGATAATGATGCCTTGGCCCTTGTAATCTTCTATTATGGGCTTTATGCTTTCTAGAGATTCTTTCCTATAGAATATTGATTAATTCTGAGCAGAGGTTTTGAGAGATCTATTTGAATATTGATGGGAGGTGTGCTGTGAATTTTGCCAATATCAGTTGGAGATTTTGCCCATAACAAAGATGGTAGCTGAATTGATAGGGACAAATTATCAGTGTTTCCAGAATCAGCTCTAGAATCATTAGAGATGGAGCAAATAAAAGATGTCAAGGGGTCATTTAATTCACCTGGTTTGTTACTTCAATGACTACTCTCAAGTTCTAGAATTATTTCTACCTTTGCATTTTTTTTTTTTTGGCCACACTGTGTGGCTTGTGGGATCTTTGTTCCCTGACCAAGGCTCTTGGCAGTGAAAGCGTGGAGTCCTAACCACTGGACTGCCCAGGAATTTCCTTTATGATTTTTTTTTCTCCCTTTGGAAGAAAGAAATTCCAGCATGACACTTCTCTAAGAAGTCTCAGCCTGATAGATGGATGGGGTTGAGGAACTAAGGAGAAAAAGGCATGTATCTCTCAAAGGGCCAAACAAAAGGAAGTAAGTTCAGGGAGAGGCATCTCTTGAGGTTGATTAGAGATCCCCACTATTTGAACTGTTTTAGTACTTCAAGGCAGAGGCTATGTCATAGTAGTGGAGTCAAGCACCGAGAGTGTGGCTCTGGTGTCAGTTAGGACTGGAAGAGATTCATACCCAATCTGGAGAGACGTTTCTCCAAGCAGGTTAAGAGGGATGATTGGGAAGAGCCCCTGTAGTTTCTCAGAGCCCTATCACTGAGAATTGGGAGGACGTTGGAAAGGCTTGTTAGAGGGCTGAAGGTGCCTAAAGCACTTAAAGGTATAAAAATCTCTTTTCCAGTGTCCTAGCTTTTTGCAATAATAGCAGAAACTAGGAGGGTTTTGTTTTTGTTTAGCAGTTTTTATTTGCTGGAGTTGAAGAATTTTAGTGTGGTTTTTTTGGTTTTGTTTTTTGGGATCTTTTTTTGCCACTCCACGCAGCTTGTGGGATCTTAGTTCCCTGACCAGGGATCAAACCTGGGCCATGGCAGTGGAAGCGTGGAGTCCTAACCACTGGACAGCCAGGGAATTCCCTAGTGGTCTTTCTTTTAGGTGAATCATCTAGAGTGCAAGAGAGTAAGTTTGTCAGATTAACTAAGTCTGGAGTGGACATATTTTCCCATTCCATCCAGATCCTTTTTACTAGAAGGGAAAGGTCCTGGTTCAGTCCATTAGTAAACATAGAGTTAAAAGCTACCCAGGAGGAATAAACGTCTGAAGGAAGACCAGAATTTTCTTTAAAAGTAATCTGAAGTCAACTGTAATAGTCATGAACAGATTCATCTGATTTTTTTGTGCAAACCTAAATTTTGCTGCAATCAACAGCCTTTGGAAAAGGCCTAGGAGTTGCTTCATGAAGTTGCCTAGCAACTGTCCAAGCTTGATCGTATAATAAATTAGCAAGCTGGTCTCCCAGTTGTGATTCTAGAGACTTTCAGGATTTTCCCAATTATCAGTTTTCATGCAGTGCTGGGCCGGGTCTTTACCAACAAGCATATGAACTAACTGATTTAAATCAGAGAAACAAGGTTGACAAGTTTGAAAGACTATATTAAATTCCACAGCAAATCTGTGAAGATCTTCGGTTACTTTGGGAAAATATTTGACTGTGGCTCGCAGTTTAGCTTTAGTCCAGGGAATATAAGAAATTCAGGGTTTAGCCTCTGGATCCTCAGAAGGCTTAATTTTAAGGGGACAGATTCTGATAAGTTCAGAGGAAAAAGGAGTGGGGAGGGTTTCAAAGAAATATGAAAGCTCAGCGAGAGAATTAGTAAGGGGGAGCTGAGGGTGTGGAGGAGGTGTGGGTATAGAAGTACAGAAGGGAAGGAGGAAGATGGTGCTGGACGTGAAGCCTGAGCACAAGGCGCCAAGGAAGAGGAGCACAAGGCTTCCGAAGCCACTTCATCTTTCTTTAATTGCTTGTTTGCCTCAGTTAACCTTAAAATCCTATTTTGCAGAGAGGCAATTTTAGGGTCCTGGTGATATTTGGAGCCCTCAAAATACCAATCAAAATAGGCATTTCATTCAGTTTTGGAAATCTTAGAGTTATGGTAGTCCAATTTGGTTTTAAGAACATTGAGTCTGGGGATTTCAAAAGTTCCCCATAATGCCCATTGATATTCTAAATTGCCTTTGGTTAAGTCAGTCCGTTTTGTTAGAAATGCGTGTGAGGAAGGACAAATGAACAAAGTTATATTCTATTAAACACAAAAATTCTATTCCTTGCAATTTGGGGTCCAGACTAGGAATATGACCAGGGGCATTTCATTTCCTTTCCTGAAATGAAGAGGACAATAGTAACTAGCTAGTGATGATTCGGGGACCTGGTACTTTGATAATATTTAAAGGATAATTTCAAAATATCAGAATGTTAGACATAGGGTTAAAAAAAATTTTGTGTTGTTCTTCTTAGTCACATTCAATTTAAACATATTGGTGTTACTCATAACCAACAGATATTTTTATAACAAGGAAGAAATACTTAACTTCATTTATTTAGAATCAATAGAAATAGAATTATTAAAAGAGCTCTTAGATGAATAAAAGTAAAATCAAAATAATCAATTAAAATGGCTGCTACCACAGCTAGCAATAGATTACACATAAAGTTTGGTAATATTAGAAATATTGGCACCTAATCTTAATAGAGCTTGAAAACATTAGCAGCATGTAATGTTGTTGCCCTAAGCTGTCTAGAGCAGTGCACTGATCATATCTGTTTTCACTGGGGTTTAGTTTTAATTAATACATCCACATCAGCTTTGTCTGCTTCTCCAAGACTTTTTTGATGGCTCTCAACCAGGACATTGTCTTCCTTTTTTCGGGGTCTCTGGGAACTACCATCTCTGTAAGCTATAGAAGTTCCGAGAGCAACAAAGTTGTGCACATCCTGCAACTTCTTACGCAGCCATTCCACT